TAAGCAACAATTTTTTTTCTGAACATTATGATGAAAATTCACATTCAGGTTCTTTCATAGGCATTGATAATTATTGTTCTCCATCTGAGATCTCTTCTTTGTTTTGCAGCAGAGTATTACATTGTGTAAAACACAAATATCCAATACTAGTTAGTAAGTGGGTGTATTTACTGACACAGTTTGCACCCTAGATTTGCTGGGGCACTGAATGGCAGTGTGGTTTGTAATCTCTGCATTCATCTGATGTTATTTTGAGTTGTGTTTCCAAGAAGTCAGAAATCTCTGGTTGTTGTCAGCAAAATTTAACATAAAGACCTTAACTTTCTTTTTTATTTTCAGGTTAAAAAAGGGAATTTGTTTCTGAGGATTGATAGTGTAAACATTTTTGCTGTACTATTTTATAGTGCAAGCTAGTTTTAGACAAATACTAATTTACTAGGAAAAATGGTTAGAGTTTGCAAAATAGATGAAGGAACAGCTCTTATGTTGATTTAAAGATAGCTTTCAAAGACTGGTGTAAGTTAACCATAAAATTAATGAACTAAAGTCATTCTGCATGTCAGAGTAATGAAGCCTGATTTATACTGAACTGTACTGTATTCAGTTTTCTCTGAAAGCATGTCAAAGACTTCCTGGGAAAAAGTGCATTTTAATTAATGTTTTAAAGGCAATATATACAGATGCTTTCAGGGATGACACTTGGTCATTGATTTCAGGTTAGTTTTTGCATTAGTAAACTTAGATATAGTGGTTATTCCAGAAGCTTTTGTAGCACTCATAAAAAAATGTGCCAAAATAATATGTGATCATGCACATACAGAATTATGAGTCTATTGTAATTGACTCTATGGTAGTTAATCAGAGGAACACTTCTGTACAGCGGAGTGTAGTCGTATTTTCTTGAGGATAGACAACTCACTCCAATAGGAATTTGTAAAATGAAATTATAATAATGATTGAAAAAGGAGCTTGTGCTCCTGTCCTTTCTAATATTTCTCATAGGTGGCTTCTTCATTTTGGAATTCCATGGGCTTGAGCCCTGTCTGACACAATACAGCATGATTAGCATCTTTTGAAATCTGATTATCGGAGTGGAGTCTCTAACAAATTCCTCAGCAATTCTGTTTAGTAGAGAGCTGTCAGGACTTGGGAAAAAGTGTGTCAGTTTGTCATGCCTGTGCTTGGCATTGCAGACATATTAAAGATGAAAATTTCAGGTAGTTTATTGTAAGTGCTTCTTGCTAGGAAAGGAAAATGTTTGTATTTTGCAAGAAATTCTGCAAGAACAAATTAGCTAATGCAATGCTGCTTTTGTAATTTGTGTTACTGGTAAGGCAGTCAGTTCATTTTTAAAACCCACTGCTCTTTGTAAGAGTGAAAGAAGAGGTAATTTGGATTCTCAATAAGGTGTAGCTTGTAAGTCTCAGAGTTAATTTATAATTTCCAACATAACAGCTATGAATTTATGTGCTTGAATTATGCATTTTCCAATAGAAATGTATGAGCTTGCTACTCTACTGCTCTGTAATTTGTAAATCCACAGTAAGTAGGTAAAAGCTGAAAATGAAAATATTCTAACTGGTAGGAAAACACAGAGCGACTGAACCAATAAAAAGGAAGGTTCTGCACATAATTGTGCCTTTCTAAGTGATTAGACACAAGTTACTGCTGAATTTAGAGATTCCCAGCAGCGTTTGGAGAGCTGCAAATCTCTGCTCTTGCATGGGAGCATGTCCCCATCCAAATTTCTCTTTGAGGGGAAAATTCATTATGCACATTCTCATGAATTGCAGCAATAGGTTTCAGAAGGAAAGATCAGTAGAAGCTTTTCAGTTCTTAATAATTTTGCTTGGAATTACATTTTTATCTTTTGAGAGAGGGAAATACAACTTTGAATTCCCATCTAGTCACAGCAAAGTTTCCTTTACTTATTGCATGGACAGAGTATTTGTTCCCATCAGATACTTTTTCTTGCTGTGCATAGGGTAAAGTTTCACAATACATTTGGTGGATTAACTTGGTAGAGCTAGGGTTTTATTTCTTTGCCTGCTAGCTACAGCACAGCTGAGTAACTGCAGGTGTGTTTGCTTTGGGAGATTCTTTTCTTAACTTTAAAGTGACTAGAAAAGCAAAGCTGAGAGCTGATTTAAAAAAAATAAATCATATATCTGCATTTAATCTATCATATATTTCACAAAGATAAAGTGTTTTGGATATATCAGGATAAATTAAAGTCTTAATGGTAAATTTTATTTCCTTTTTAAATGCCATTTCTTGTCCAGAATGAATAACTTCCCTTTGTTTTCCCATAAAGTCTGTACGACACATTAAGAACTTATTCATCTGTTTTATTTTAAAATTCTCAGACATTAAATATTTCATCTGATAAGTGTGAGTGGGTAAGTTAATACAGTTATGCCTTGTATGTTAGTTTTACATGATCCCAAAACACAGTAAATGTGAAGTAATGTAGAATGACAGCTGCTCTAATAAGAAACCTAATTAAAGTTCATGGGACTATCATAAAGCCACTGTACAGTGACAGATGTAAATGCTAAATTTGGTCCACGTAATAGAGAGGATTGGGTGGAATAGTTACAGACTTTGTCAAAGTGCACCGAGATTGAAATACTGACACAGCTGATGTATTATTTTGTAGGTAGAGGAAGCACTAGAAGCAGTGAAAAATGCAACAAATGAGCAAGATTTAGCAAATCGCTTTAAAGAATTTGGCAAAGAGATGGTAAAGCTGAACTATGTCGCTGCTAGACGACAGCAGGTGAGTACATGAGTAGGTTGAGAAAGTCTGTCTTGGTTCTGAAGGTCTTATATTTTATGTCCAAGTCTGGTTTAAAATGTGCAATTGCTGTGTCATGGCCTATCATTTAATCACCCTGATTAGCTTTGAATGTGAGGACGTTTTTCAAAAGTGCGGTTTCCTTAAGAATATTTTCCAAGCACCTTTAATTATTAACAGGTTGAAGAGTGAAAAGGCAAGTGATTCAGGAGCTTAAGGGTAGTTTTCATCTGATGATTATTCCCATTTAATTCTAACCTGTGCTGATTTCAGGTCACTCTGACAGCTGGTAAAGCACGAGCCCTATGGTAGTTAAGTACAATTCAAATTCAGGAGGAACAGAAATCTACTTTGTGTTTAAAAAAACAAGTACTCCATTTATTCACTGCAAAGGCAGCTGCAAAAAAGGACCAGAAAATCACAAGAACATTTACTGAAGACCTTCAAGTGTACAGTGTCGCAGTAAAGATAACTTTCTCCTGAGCACAAATTCTTTTTTGGACATTCCTCTCACTGTGGAGTTTTATAAGGTCTCTCCAGCTTCAATTGTATTTGAATACTACCAGTAATTCAGGGTTGTGTCATCTTGGTACTGGATAGCACACTGGATTTGGAAAGTATTCATCCTCCAGTTTACCTTATTTTCTGAATTACAGTAATGACAATTTGTTTCTGAATCATAACTGGTGGTGTTTTCTTGAGAATAATAAAATTTTCTGAGATATACTGAAATGAAACAAATTAAAAATGTAAAATATAGTCACTCTATGGACAGTGCTCTTCTGATTCCTTTTTCCCTGTGGAATTACAGCTATAAGTATGGGAGAAGAAGAGAAAAACATGAAAGCTAATGTAGGCTTATATCTCTTAAGTTCTTATTGGAGGTATGAAAATGTGGAAAAAATCTAAGTTATGTTTATCTTAAAATTTTCTTGTTAAGGCGCATATTTTATAATGCCAGGAAAGTTTTCAATATAGCTGGAAAATCTTGTTAGCATTAGAACCTGCTATTTAGATGTTCATGCATTTTCCTTTCGTGTTTTCTGGTTTGTAGCCTGCTAAAATTTTTAGGAGCTTAGTTCTCTGTGAAAACTGCTACCTGTCAGCCAGGTGTGGCTGAAATTAGCCTATGAGTAGAACCTTTAAATCCAGAATATCTGGGTTCTTTTTCAGTATTTGCTATAGATTTTATGTGTGAACATAAATAAACTATTCAGCTTTCCAGACTTCTTTGTCCATAGTTTAAAAATAGAATTAATAATGTTTTGTTGTTCCTTATGAATAGTTAGGACTATCTTAACTAATGTTTGAAAGGCTTTCAGGGGCACTATAATATACCCTAGCATTAAAAAAGTTAATGGATTAAATAGCAATAATTCAGTACCATCTTGTTCTGGTAACATATCTTGCAGTTTCTGATTTGTGTTGTTAGGGGAAATAAAAGAAAATATATGGAATAATATGGTAAATATACAAACATTGCATAATATGAGGAATAGAGTGAAATATGAAGGAAAGGCTACAAATAATGAGGGGCATATTTAGTAGATCTTTAAGAACCAACTCCATATCCATCTGTGTAATTTTGATGGTTTTTTAGGATGATTTTGTAAAGGACATAGGTATAGTACCTAGAAAAATAAGGCACTTACTGCCGTGGGATTGTTGGACTTGCGTTGCCTTTGTGGCATCAGCAGTCCAAATCCAGTCAATCAGGAAGAGTAAATTTGAATGTTTTATATAAGTTTTTTCTGTGGTTTTTGCATAAGAGAAGTGTATAGACTCTTTGGTAAGACATTGTGAACAGAATCTAACAGTCACAGTGACACAGAAGGACTAGACTTTCTTGGGCAGGAGAGGAATTCCTCCTGTGATTTATGGTTCATTCTGTCATTGATTCCTTCTCTGCAGAATCACAAACAATGCAGAATGTGTGGTGTTTGTGCATAGATGGGTACTTAAGGCAATACACCGTGCGTTTTTGTCTAGGAACTGAAAGATCCTCACTGCAGGGATGAGATGGCTGCAGCTCGAGGTGCTCTGAAGAAGAATGCCACCATGCTGTACACGGCATCCCAAGCCTTCCTACGTCACCCTGATGTTGCAGCCACGAGGGCCAACAGAGACTATGTCTTCAAGCAGGTGCAAGAAGCCATTGCTGGTATCTCCAACGCTGCCCAGGCCACCTCACCCACTGATGAGAATAAGGGCCACACTGGCATAGGAGAGCTTGCTGCTGCACTGAATGAATTTGATGTAAGTATCAGAAGTGTGTGGACAACAAAGTGTTTCTCCATGCAATCTACAGAGCTTTTAACTAAGTGGTTCTTATACAGGACTCAAGTTTCCATTCAGGTCCATTTCCTCAGACTACAGCAGCAAAGGGTGGACAGTGATCTGTGTTATTTTTAATAAGGAATAGTTGTTTGCTGCTAATGGAGTCAAATTATAAGGAGTTACTTGTGCTCATATGTAGTGTCTGGGTTAGAGAAAAAGAAGTTCTCTTTATCCCCAGTGTCCGTGACAAATGTAGCTACATAGGCCTAAATAATGCAAAATCTGATTAATCTGGCAGTTTTGTGACCAAGATCTGGGATTGGTTGAATGGTAAAATCATGTTTGGCAAGTCAGGAAGACAAGACGAGGAAATGAAGATGGTGATGGCGCTCAGTCAGCATCCTGGAAACATTAACATATTACTTCAATCATGGATTATGTTAATCAAAGATAAGGCAAAAGCATCTTTCAGACACAGCTGATAGCAGTCAGTTAAGCTGCAGGCAAAGTGCTGCAGCCTCTGTTCCAGCAATAGATACAGTTTTGCTTAAGCAACTTTCTTGACAGCTAATTGTTTAACTGTTAATTCCTTTCCCAGATCTCTCTGATGATTTCCCCTATCTCACACTTAAGGTTAGTTCATTAGGAAGTAAAAAAAAAAATAGTTGCAGATGGTCTCTGAAATTAGTTTCCTCTTTCATTCTGACTTAAGGCAAAAATTTGTTTAAATTCTTATTTGGGAATGTTGTCCTTTTCACTTTGATTAATTCTCAAGGTTACAATACAATCATCTGTCACATGCAGTCAGAAGCTGCTCAATCCTGCTGTTTTTAGGGCTGAAATTGGAGGTATAGTGCAGATGGTTCATCTCATGGCATGTTGGACAGGGCTTGTCTGCTGTATTTATTCTTGTATCCATGGTTTCTCCTGCACAATCATTGTGGGTCAAGATTTAAGGAATCCTGCATGGTTTTTCAGGCCTTCTCAGCTCACAAGTCCCTTGTGGGTAAGATCCTGGGAATAATATCCCTGTGCGGTCTAACTGTAGTGTGGCTTTTGTGTGGGAGTTTGCATGTTATGGACAGCAAAGGTCTGACAAACAGGGACAGAAAACATGTGACTTCTCAGTCCCAAACTGATGATGCTGCTGCTGCCTTCTGGAAAAGGCTGTTGTTCAATGCAAAAAAGTCGTTGTGCTTAGTGAAAATCAATGTAGAGAAGACTATGTGAAGCATCTGATATTGTCCTCTGCCTCTTTAGGAGAATATTCATAATTTTTCTCCTCAGGTAAAGTTTTTTCCACTTTCCATGATGTTAAAGGCATCATGAATGCATATGGGGGATGTATAGCCATAGTATGGTGTTCTGTTCACAATTACATGTGGAGAAACAGCCTTTTGGGGGAATTTTCTCATTTTAATTTTAGGAAACTAAATGAAAACTTCCTCCTCTGACTTAATGAAGATACAGAAATTGAAACTGTTATTTCATCTATTTTCTAACTCACTGCTTAGCTGTTGAATGAGATTTATTCACACCTAATTCTGCAACAGAGATGACATTCCCAAACTCCAGGGAAAGTCAAAATTTATAGCTGTGATGGTGGAATGACTGTGAATTTATGTTTTATAATCAAGAAAGCAAGAAAAATTACTAGACTTGTGAAATTATATCTTGAGTTGAAAGGTGATGGAGAACTAAGTTTGATTTTTATACTGTCAGTATATTAGTTCAGCAAGGGAAAGGAAGTTTGTATTTTCTAGTGAAAATAGTTATGCAGAGTATTTATTTTGCAGTTCGTATTTGGTATGAAGTGCTTACTAAACCTTGCATTATATAACAATTCAATTACTCTGTATTAAAGATAAGTTTACAGATGTTTCTATAATATTTAACACTTCTCAGCCTTCATTATTTCAAATTTCAGAATCAGTGTTCTGTAGCTTAATGCTTCAAATAGCTGCACTGTAAATAATCTAAATATTTTATCAATCAAATGCAATATTAGTAATTATTTACCTATTTGAAGCATTTCAGCTCTTGTGTTTAACTAGGTTTCATGTTAATTGTCATACTCTCTACATTGGTGGCTTCTATAAAGTCACGTGTGAGTTACTAGCAGCAAAGTTTGGGAACAAGTTGTCATTTATTGCTTCTCAGAGGTCATTAATGTAGAAATGAGGAGAGTTCACAAATCTGTGTCTTATTTGATTTTCTTCTTTAAAATACTGTTTGAAGGTGCTTGATTGCCAAAGTACATGTTCAATGCCTTGTTGCTTTGTCCTTTAACTTCAGTGTTCCTAGTTTAATGTTAGATCATTTAAACCCATGTATTCCTGGGTTTATTACCAATTTATTATTAAAATTTGGTACGTATTTTATACTCATGAAGTATTTCTGAGTTTTTAGTGCAACTAAGGATGCACATTTTACTTCCCTTCATGACACATGGCCAGATTTATTGAAGTTGCATGAAGAAGTTTGTCAAGGACTTGAATTCTGAAAATACTCCATTTTCACTCAGAAAATGGTAATTTTGATCTGCTACAGTCTCAGCTGTTCTGATTATTGAGGGATTGCTGTGTTGTCACATGTTAAGCTGTGGGATGGATTTATGTGGTATCTTACATGCTTTCCCCATAGCCATCATCATGTGTAACAGAGACAGGACCTACATGTCAAACTGGAATGTATTGTGGAGGTAGATAAAAAGAAGGTCAAATTGTTAAGTGAGAAATTAAATGAGAAGGACCAGAAAATCTGTGCTAGGTAAAAACTGAGGCAAAGATAGATAGCATCAACACTCTCATGTGGGTTTGGCAACTGGAAAGAGGTAAAAATATATGTGTGATGTGGATGTGAAAATATATATTTATATCTAGATATAAAGTAAAGGAATAATTGTGTCCAGAAAGGGACAATGGAGTTGGGGAAGGGTCTGGAGCACAAGTGTGATGAGGAACAGCTGAGCTTGCTGGCAGGGCTCAGCCTGGAGAACAGGAGGCTCAGGGAGGACCTTCTCACTCTCTACAACTCCCTGACAGGATGTTGGAGCCAGGTGAGGGTCTGGATCTGCTCCCGGGTAACAAGATGCATGACAAGAGGAAATGGCCTCTTGTTGCACCAGAGGAGGTTTAGATTGGGCATCAGGAAAATTTTCTTCACAGAGAGGCTGTTGTTCTTCACTGAGACAGGCTGCCCAGGGCAGAGGTGGAGTCACCATCCCTGGAAGGATTTAAAAAATGTATAGATGTTGCACTTGGGGACATGATTTAGTGGTGGCCTTGGCAGAGCTGTGTTAATGGTTGGATTCAATGATTTTACAGGCCTTTTCCAACCCAAACAATTCTGTCATTCCATGATTCTCACAGCAAGGGCTGCAGGCAGATAATTGGGGGACATGTTCTGCATGATGGAATGGAAAGGGGGCAGTAACAGCCAAAAATAATATGTATTGGGCACTTGGGATCTCTGGTGAGTAGGAGAATATCTCCTTTCAGAATACGAGTTGAGATTATGCTTCCCGAGTCCCTAGGAATGTAGCTGTGTCAGTGGGATGTGCTGACAACACTTTAGTCATGGTAACGACTGTGGAAATTCAAATTCTAAGGGTTTCAAACTGGGTAACCTAAACTGCTTTGCATTTTAAATAATTCTAAATTACTTCCTTTACATTTTGATATGAAAAATGAGGGTAATCATTCTTGTACAGTGCTGTGAGGGTGGGTGGAATGGTGTTGTAAATATAAAGCTGTTTGCTATGCATGCACCATGACCCCATAAAATGGATCATTCCTGTGTTTGAAGCAGGCTTGAATTGTCTACAAGAAATTATGAGTCAAGGATACAAGTTTATAAAACCTGTGACTTAGAAAGGGGAGGAAAAGATATCTAAAGGAAAAAAGGATCAATACCCCTTCTTTCAATTGATGCTAGAAGCAAAATATCTGTTGTCTTTTGTCTTCTCTGGGAAGAACTGATGACTTTCTCCTTGAGTTTTCGGTTTGTGCGTGTGCACGTAATGATCGGCAAGTTCTGCGTCCATCAATGGAATAAAATGATACTGTCTTTATTAAAAAGGATATATAGTTGCAGTGCTTGCTTTTTCATGCATATTAATCCAACAGATACACCCTATATATGATGTTATTTTATCTGATGGTTTGTATCTTTTTAATATTAGATTTACTGTTTCTCTGTGTGTGCACACATTCATTTCTCTTTGAAGATGCAGGCCAGGAATGTTGAACCTTGTTACGTCTTGTGCCTGTGGGTCACCCTTTACTCTGATTTCAAAATCACATTGTCTTGATTCAGTATGAAAATAATTTAGCTTATAAAGGAACTTAAAGGAGTTCTAAGAGAAGTGGCCACAGCCCCAAGAATGCCGGAGTTCAAGGAGCCTTTCGACTATGCTCTCAGGCACATGGTGTGATTCTTGGGGCTGTCCTGTGCAGGGCCAGGAGTTTGGCTTGATGGTCCTTGTGGGTCCCTTCCCAGTCAGGATATTCCATGATTATGTGATTTGATCTGGTTGAGAACTGAAAGAGGTGATTAAAATAAGTTGAGGTACTTGATGTATTTGGGATAGGTCCCGAGGTACTGAAACTGTACCGTTTTTTGTTATGAGCAGCATTTGAACTGAAGAATTCCAGGCAAAATAACTCGATCTTTAATAAATTTTTGAACAGTGCAAGTCAACCATTTGGGAGATCACTGTGTTTGATGAGAAAGAAAGTGTCTAATGACACTGGTCACTGTCCTCTAGGCTGTCAAATGCAGCTCATATTTAATAAATGGACTATAATAACATTTCTTGAATATATTAATGCTCCTTTAGGAATATTTTGCATGGCTAGAGAATGCAGTGCTCTTTAAATGGAGTGGGAGATCTAAAAGATATGTAATGAGGGGAAAAATGAAATAGAAACAGAAAAGACACAGTATTTGCGTGCAGCAGTAGCAAAGACTACTTTTTT